TATTAGGCATCCAAATCCATTTTGGCTAACTTTAGACACTCAAAATTGTAACACATTGTTGCAAACTCTCACGATGTTTTTCTGAGTGTAGTGATGTTCGGTTGTTTGTTTATCTGTCTCATGAAAACGCAATGAAAGGCTGCCAAGCTGTGGATTTTCCGTTATTCAGAATGGCTGCAATCTCCCATTACTCTCAATGAAGCTGAAGCCAGCAAGATGACTGCTATTTCCTTACAATCTATCTGTATGTGGACGTGAGGCTGCCCCAATAAAGATAACTGCCAATGACTACTCTTTTCAATGAGACAGAAACCATGCCCACAGCAAAATGGCTGCCACTCTATTTTTGTGAGGGCTAGACAAGACACTGTTAGGACACTGGGACTGTGAGGAGCAGGCTGAGCACTGTAAAATGTGAATGGGGAGACTGAGTGGGGAGCTGGAGGCAGACTTAAGGGCAGCAGAGGAATTTGAGGGGCAGGAAGCCAGTGGGGATTGTAGTGAGGTGGAGTGGCCTCCCACTGAGCCGTGCCTGCCCCTCGGAAGTCAGAGAGCGGAACAGGAAGTATTAAGGGTGGGGCCTGGAGCTCAGTCAGGCTGCTGCTGCCAAAGGAGACAGACGCCTTCCGGCTGCTCCCAAGCTGAGAGACTACTGCAGACCTCTCCGCAGCTGAGGACTGGCCAGAGCTGCCAGAGCCATCCACTGGCCAAGCCACGGAGGAGTTGCCAGGACTGCCATGGGCTTTCTACCCTGGTGACCCAGAGGACCCCCTACGGATCCAGGTACATCCCGAGTGGGAGATAGGAAGTGGCGCAGGGGCAGCTGACCCTAGTCTGGCTGCAGCACTGCCTGAGATAAGGTCAGCGCGTTGTGGTCAGGATCCCGCCACTGTTAGGGCCCTGGGCCGGGACGCAGTGGAGTCGGGTGCGCCTGTGTCACCCCTACCTCTACCACTGCACCCCTGATTGTGCAGTTTTGTATGCTACTGTTTCCCCAGGTAGGCACTAAAACTCCCAAAGTCTTTTATCTAATTTGTAAGAAATTATTTTGGGTTAAAAGTGTGTTATTTCAAAACTATGTACTTCACTTAATCACTTCTGCATCTGTGTAAGTGTGTCAGAAAGATGCAGACATATTAATATGGGATGAGAAATAAGCTAAGTAAATAGTCTAATATAGACAATATGTTCAGAGAAACATAAGGTGGACACCAAAATGGGATGCCATAAAGATAATTTTAAGAGCTGGACTTCCTTAAAAGAAAGGCAAGGGACAGCTTGTGTCTTTAACAGACTCTTCTTCTTCCTTAACTTTCCTGTAAAGTATTAAAATAATTCTTGTGTTCATCTTATACATTGATTTAATTATTGAGTGTACTAATTGACAAGCCAGATGAATTGAATCATTCATTTATTGATTGAATTTCAGTTGTAACCTTAATTTGATCATTTGATTAGTTCAGAGAAATTAGAAGGAAATTAGTGACATATTTGTTGGCTTATTCTTTTAATAAATCCATAAATCCTGGTAGGATTCTTCCATATTCAAAGCAGCAACAGAGTAGTGGAGAGTCAGGCCCAAGGAATGCCTGAATGTAATGAAGTGGGTAATTATAGATCTCACCAAGAACCATCATCTGTCTTTGAGCTGGTTTACACTCACTTTTTATACCAGTTTAGAAACCCATTTAGCTAAATTGGTGCAACCCTCATAGTGTGTGTGCAGTAATACCTGTATAAAGGTGCTTTTAAAGCTTTTACTGCTTTATGGGAAGCTTATTTCCATATATTTAATCAGTATAAAAACTGTTTAGAATAGACAAGCCCATTTTTAAATATCAAATTGACATTGGAACTCAAATGGCAATCCCATTCATTATTCACCTACTTTTGAATTTAAGCAAATCATTAGAAATTGCAATAATATAGAGCTCTCTCTGTGTGTAGGTGTAGCTCAGTCAGACTAGCATTATTCCATTTGACATAGACTGTGTAAGTGAGATCGGAACCATGCCCCATTCTGTGTAAATAATGGCACAATTTGCTGTTGGTTAAATACAATTTTATGAACCATAAATTATGATGTTTTGTAACATTTTAAAATAATCTGCTCATCCATTTTTGTAAATTCATCTTATACTGTGTTAGGTACTTATAAAGCTATAAAACTACTGATAGCTGGGTGTAAATGGGGAAACTCCATCACTATCCTCTGATGTCCCAGAAACCTCTTAGTCTCTCCAGTAAGTGGCAACTTCATGTGAATTTATTTATATATCCATCTCCACCACCAACACAATATTTATAGTGTTTTTGTCCTTTAACACACAGCCCGGGGGGGAACAGAGGTCTCCCTGCCTTGAGATCTCATAGCTACTGGACTCAGCTAGCCCAGATTCTCCTTTTTATACCCCCTCAGATGATGGCTAATTGGTTCATCAGCTCTCCCAACCTGATCAGCTAATTAGCTGCATATCCCCAATCAGCCTTCTCCAGTGGAGCTGACTAATGCTTAAGAGATCAGAGCGCTGGCTCATCTGTTAGCTCCCAGCACTCTGTCACACTGGGCTCAAAGATGTTAATAAAGATCTAAGAGTCTAGTTTTATCATTTGTCCCACCAATTTAACTGAGGACAGAATTGAGCTCTTATGGCTATATTAAGTCATTATCAGGCTGTGCTGCACTACAGGAGAGTCAGGGAGAACATAAGAATGGCCATACTGGGTCAGACCAATGGTCCATCTAGCCCAGTATCCTTTCTTATGGCCACTGACAGCGGCCAATGTCAGGTGCTTCATAGGGAATGAACAGAACAGGTAATCATCAAGTGATCCACTCCTGTCATCCAGGCACATCATCTGGTAGTCAGAGGCTTAGGGATGCCCAGAGCACGGAGTTGCATCCCTGACCATTTTAACTAATAGCCATTGATGGACCTATGCTTCATGAACTTATCTAATTCTTTTTTGAAGGCAGTTATAGTTTTGCACTTCACAATATCCCCTGGCAATGAGTTCCATAGGTTGACTGTGTGTTGTGTGATTAAGTACTTCCTTTTGTTTGTTTTAAACCTGCTGCCTATTAATTTCATTGGGTGACCCATGGTTCCTGTTAAGAGCACTTTTCCTGTGGGAGCCTTGGTAGGCATTGGCCCAGATTTTGAGCTGCATCCAAAGAGTGCACAGCCCAGCTCAAGGTGGTAGGGCAAAGTTGGCTGTATGTCACCCTTGTATCCCCTGGATTCTGTGGGTAAGTTACAGCAGTCTGAAGGCTCTTTTAATTTATGCTTGGCTGCCTCTAGCTCCAGAAGGCCATTCCATCAGCTGGGAATAGCTGGAGTGCAGAGGCACTCAGGCAGTTCCCCTATATCCAGGGACAAGGACAGCCACTGTGTCTGCTCTGTGCTTCCAGGGAAGTCCCCTTATGTAGAGTTTAAAAAGCAGAGCAGACCTAAAGGAATATCTTCACATCTAAGATACACCCATGTAAATCTGGAGTAACTCTATTAATTCAGTGGAATTACTCCAGATTTATACTGGTGTAACAGAAGTCAGCATCTGGTCCAGCATAGCTAGGTGAAAAGAGCAGGATTTGTTCCTTTAGAATTTTGTATCAAAATCCTGTGAAACTTTGTGTAGTTTCAACACAAAACTAGATTCTCCTTCAATGTGGTGTAGGTTTTATAGCTTGCACAAATTCCTCAACTTTGCTTCTACATATAAATCCTATATATGTAGGATATATATAGGAGCAAGGTTATTATTAAAAAATTCTCTTTGACATTTTTGTTCATAACCTAGATAGTTAAAGAAAACCAATAGACTTTGTTTTATTCTGTGTAGATTGTTATGCGGTGCTCATGACCATAGCATGTGAGTGCCTTCCAGTAAGGCATTTAGCAACATGACTACACATCTGTCACTTCTTGTTTGTTCTCTCTTCTTCTTCCCACTGCATATGCTGTGGAATGTCTTGTCTTGGTAGGTTAGTTTGGTTGGTTTGTTTGTTTTTTAAATATTCATATTGCTATGTATTTACGTTCAGGAAGGCAAGGTCAAAGAAATATGCCTTGCACTTGAAGACTTCCTGTCCCTACACTTGAAATATGCACACAGGACAGATTAAAAATTTCTTTCCTCTCTGAGCCCATGTATGCTTGATATCGTCATGGTAAAACTTTAACGTAATGGTATTAAGATGCATACACATCTTCCTACATAGGAAATTCAGAGGAAGAAAACTAGTACGTGCCTAGGCTCTTACAGTATACTGTTTGTCACTGTTGCTGACTAAATGGTAAAAGTTTTCAGGGTTCATTTTTTAAAACTTTCACATAATATCTGTGTTTCCAAATACATAAATGGTATGAAAAATTTAGAATGTATATGTTTGTGGTTTCAAGCTGTTTGGTTGATTTCATGAGAATAAATTATTTTATTGGTTTCTTAACTGGTGAGAAAACTTCTTCCCCCTCAGGGAAACTTGGTTTAAGTTCTACTAAACAAAACATTTCGCAAAAGGTGTTCTTTTTAATCCACTGATCACTTACTTCTGGAATATAAATAGTTATCTAAATCCTCATATGGATGATTTCTGTGCAGCAAAGTAAGTTAAATTGACAGTTTCCTCCTTTTCCTTAAAATCCCCACTCAGTTAATTGGAAATGCAAATATTATAGTATATGCCCTATTCTGAAGAAAATAAAATTTCTTAATCCTAAAGCACATTATGTATTTTAAAGAGCCTTTATTACAATAACCTCATCAGCTGAGGTTTATTTGATAAATGCAGAATTTTTTAACATTATATCTCTGTGGTGAAATCACTTTTAGTTGAAATTTAACTAAGTTTTCAGTTTCCTTTCTCTTAGAGTTACTGAGCTGCTGTTATGGTTTATATCTGTGACCTCATTTTCCTACAGATAGTGTGGTTTTGATCACAGAAGGAAGTATTTTTTTCAAACCAGATACTAAATACTACTTTTTATTCTTCTCTACAGAGAGCAGGGGAGACCATCGGTGGAGATTCTGAAAGGTAATTTCTTTTTTGTCATCTTGCATTTGAATGTACAAAACTGTTGCGTTCATATTCATTATATTTTAAGAAATTAGTTGTGCTTTTCACTTTTGTAGGGGTATATTTTGTTTTGTTTTTCTGAGAGACTGAAGTAATTTCCAGATTTTAGTGAGAAAAACATTGATCTCAGTGAATATATTTAATGGCTTCCCCTGCTGATTGCTTCAAGTATGAACATAGGTTTTAGACTTAAAGGGTTTCTTGAACTTTTTTTTAAACTAAAATAGTATCAGATATAAATGAAAATAAATTAAAGCTGTAATACAAAGTTGAGAGAGCAAATGTCTTCCCCTTTCCTTTCTTTTTCTCATTCCTTATTTATAAGGATTAACATTTCAAAAGCACTTTGAAGATGAAAAGTGTCACATAAATGTTTAGTAGTAGTATTTTTGGAAATCAACAATGAAATAGTCCTTTCTGTGAATATTTTTGTTCCATCAACATTTTTAAAATGCTAACCCCATCTGCACAAATATGTAAACTAATGTTTATCTTTCTTAGTATCTATTTAATAAATATACTAGGGCTAAGCAATTATTGTTCAATTTGCTCTTTAGTGTTTGTATTTGGTCAAATAGAATACAGAGAAACACAAATAATAGTGGCAATATCTCTGATTCATTTACAATTAGACTGATTATGCACAAAATATATAATAGATTACATCCAGTAAACTACATTAAAATAACATTGTTTGCAAAGTCAGATACTTGAACATTAGAAAATGCCAGAATTAAGGTTGTCCATGTGACATTAATTGAGGTCCCCTTCTGCATATGCATTATGATAGTCTTTAATTATATGATCACATCCTATTTTTTTCCATAGAAACACTGCCTCACTCAGCCTATGGATAATTATTCAGTGTTTCTTTTTATCCTTCTCATTCATTGCGTGGCACTAAGCCTTTTTTAACCATCCAAACCTTCCGCTGAATAAAAAATAATTAATTTTCTCATGGGTGTTTCAATGGTGCTTTCAAAATAGTATACAAATGCTTCACTAATAAGCACTAAAGAATTTATTTTCACAACACCCGTGTTAGATTTGATGGTATTCCTATCCCCATTTTACAGTTTGAGTACTGAGGCACAGAAATATTAATGTCAAAAGTACCCACTAATTTGGGGTTCCTAACTTGAGACACTTTTCAGAGTTCTTTTTAGCACTTTCTCTGGCAGTTATGAGCACTTAGCACTTCTACAAGCCTGGCCTCAGCTGTCTCACATTATACACTCATAAAAGGAAGAACGCATAATTTGTCACCAACTGTGGTGTAAATGTTTGGCATAAGTGGTTAAGTCTAGCATCAAATAGGAACTCTGTGGCAGGGATAGACTCCAGTTCTCTAAGGTGGCATTCAGCCTCCTTAATTAGGAGGCTGTCCTTTCTCTAGTGCAATCCCCTGCCTCATTGCCTTCCAACTTCTGCAACAAATGGGACAGAAAAGAATCTCATTCACTACATACCCTGCTTCATTCCAGAGCACTGTCCATTCTGTGCACTGAATGAGACAGGACTTGTGGTAAAAAAAAAAAACTATGATCATGGAATTAAAGACTGTATCATAATGCATACACACAAAGTGGCCAACTTAAGGTTACACAGGTAACCTTTATAGTGGCATTTCCTAACTTTTTGGTGCTTGACCTTGCAACTTAACATTCTTTGAACAAAGTTTTTTTTTTTAATGTGATTTTTTTAAAACAAAAATAAAACCTCTATCACATGGAACTATACTGACGCCCAACTTGAGTCATTTTATAATGGAAAGCGTCAGGCACCCTTACCTTCCAGCAGCACTACCAGCTCCTCCTATAATTATTACAAATGACAAGCCCATCCCCAAATATATTCAAAACTATCTGCTCATCTGCTATATAAACTATGGGTCAGATCTTTCAAAGACAACTGCCTGATGAGACCCAGGCTCCTTGGGAAAGCATCATCGACTTCACTTGGGCACCGCGCAGTCATAGACATCTGCCTAGGCAGATCTTTGACCTTTATAACAAATTGTTTATAATATATAACAGAGTAGGTACATATTAAAAAACCCACATGCAAATATGTTGAAAAACACTCCTGTTATGTGCAAAATATGAGACTCATTACAATATAGTGCACTATATATCCATTAAAGAAAACAATTTCAAGTAAGTAGGCTGTCAAGTGAGCCTAAGTTGCTGATTTCCCTTGACAAGAAGGGCCTGGGAAAGTGCTCTGACCCTTTTGTTGCTATTTCTTGTAGCTTTGGAACCCTATGTGTGGATATCTATATAATAGCCAATTTGTGGAAGCCAGAGGCCCAAGGGAGAAGGCTGCAGTTCCTTGTGGTTGATCCTGGGTTGCTCTTTTTTTCTAGCTGTGATTGTTGACAGAAAGAGGCTGATGCAGACATGAGGCCACAAAATAATCTCCCTGGGAAAAAACTGTAGGAGGGTAAAAACCCAGTAGAAAACACTGAATGTAACTCAGAGGTCCTACCTAGTTCTTTTTTCAAAGGGGAGAAATTTGCATGTCCATTGAGAGGATAGGGAATGGAATCCTCAGTTTCTGTGTATCCTAGTGCTCTGTGAGCAATGTGACCACAGAGCCATGCCATCATCACTACAAAGAGTATAGGCAAAGAGCCCCTCAGAGCTATTTTGCTTATCTCCCCTGTTAGGGTTATAGAAGGCACAGAGGAACAGTTATTTCTACTTAGAGAAATAAAAACTATAGAACATTTCTCACTAGGAATTCCTTCTTGTCTCCATTCCCTCTTACTCCTAGCTCTACCATTTCACTTAGCTCCCCATTCCACCTATTGAGAGGCTTTCCTGCCCCATTTTGCTGTTCTTTGCAGAGTATAGTGGAAAGTTACATGTGGTCTCGTTTTTTTATGTCTGGATCGTTGAGACTATGATTCTCCTCATCCTCCATCATCATTCTCCTCTGTTTCTTCATGCTGCTAAACACCCACATAGAAAAGCAGAAGATGCTCCTTTATTTGTTGCCCAAGTATTCAAACCAAAAGGAAACAAAATTGTATTGTCCATGAAATTGCATGGGGATGTTACAGATCAATGTAGCTGCAAATAACAAAAGTGCAGTGGAATCCCCATTTTCCAATTTCAGCCATAGAATTAGATGCCACAGTCTCCAAAAAGCTCTCATGAACTGTCATTCCACACACAAGGAATCTTGTTTATTGGGGAAAGGAATGCTCAGTTGTGTTGGAAAATCATTGCCAGCAAGAAGTTCCATAGCAACTGTTCTTAGTGTTTGTATTCAGTGAATATCAGTAACTACTCACTGGTGTTCATCTAAAAATGGTATCAATCATATCCTCAGTAAATATTGCATGCTTAAAAAAATAAGTTATTTAAATCATTGTAGTTAATGTTCAGGAGAAAAACAGGGAGAAATATTTTGTAGCCTTTTTTTACATGTATTTTCTTATATTTGCATTTTAAAAATGAGGCACCTTTGCTATTTTATGTTCCTCCGAGCAAGAAGTAAAATTTCATACAGTACAGTATCTCTCATTACAAACATTTATTTGTATAATGAAATTTGAAGTCAAGGGAGTCACACCAGTGATGAATTTGGTCCCTTTTGTCTGTACTTTAATGGGTTCCACTTCACCACTTTAGAATGACTGGTGCAGTCAATCATAGATCCATTAAGGCAGAAAGAAAACATTTGGTATCAAGTGCTGTGGGCAATATGTTACTACTTACATTCAATGTCAAAAGTTGAAAACCTGAAATATAGGCTGCAATGAAGGTTTTAAATGACAAAGTTGTATCTTCTATGTCCTTTCAGATATTTTTAGCAGTTTTAAATTATTTAAGATTGTGCTTGTGACCAGGGCCCTAGACCAAATGGTGCCCCAGGTGAGGAACATCTTCGGCGCCTCCCCCCTCCATTTGTTAAACTTTTGAATACCTTATTTTTATTGCATTTGTAGCCCATTTCATGACTTTGATGCACTATTGGCATGCATGATCTATCCCTGTCATATAAGACGATAAATTTACACTTTCACAATTACACAATAAAACAAGGTTCACAATATCGCAGCTGGCCTCTCACTTAACTTCACTTCATTCTTATATCTCACTGACTGAGTTCCGACGCCCTGCCCCTTATATACCTGCGAGGGCATGGATGACAACATGTTAGAAGGTTCGAGGAAAATGTAGTTCTCCAAGTCTGGAAGGTTCCACAAGACTTAATATAGGTCTAGAACATTCTAGAAGGATAGTGAAAAATTAATCCACATATGGAATACTGGAAATATTTTCCTTCAAACATTCTATTTTCCCTTTTGTCGCTAACAACAAAAACAGCACTCCAAGCCCTGCTCCCCAAGCGGTTGCCTTGGTCACCTGCCCCTAAATCCGGCCCTGCTTGTGACTTCTGGCACAAATAAACCTAATGTTAAAAGGTTAATTTTTCTTCTTAGATCCCTTGTCAGTTTTATATCTGACTAGAGCAAAGTTTACACAGGAAATGAAAAACTGAAAGTGCATATTAACCTATCTGTACATCTCTTAACTTAAATTTAAGGGTCTTAATCTTCAGCTGGGACCAAACTGCACTTGGCATAGCTTTGGAGATGAGGCACAAAAGCTGGAGAATGCTTTTGCACACACCCCCTTAACCTGGGGCCATCTGGTCACAAGTCTGGTCCCTTGTATAAAAGAGTACACTCAGAGATGCACAATTTTACATTGGTTTCCGATAGCCTCAAGGGACGGGGTGTTCTGGCATCAGCGGATCACCAGGGCTCAGGGACAACTCAGCCATACCCATCTTATGGTGACTGTGTGCCACTTAAGGATTCCCACTGATGGGGAATCCTGAACTGCCAGTTAAGCCAGCATGAGTGTTGCCTTTTGCTCTTGGAACAGCACAAGCAGCCTTACCGAACCAGAGGATCTGGCCCAGAGATGTATATTGTTCTGCCA